GGGGCTTCCCCGCCGCTCCCCGCCGTCACAGTAGCCCCGCCGCCAGGGGAGCCGAGTCCTCCAACGCCCCTGGACTTGGGGGAAGCCCTGCGGGGAGACAGGCCCCGAAGGAGGGGACTCCGGGTAGCCACAACTCTCCAACGTGGCGCTGCCCCTTGCGGGGCGGAGGGAGGGTTGCGGCCCCACAGGGTGCGCCCCCCAACTTTGTACACCTGCCTCTGAGAGAGGAGGCTGCAAACACCTAGCTTTGAAGACACGCGCAGAACTGGGTTCTTCCGGGCGCCCCTGCCACCGGCGAGCCGCCGCCCTCGGCGCGAGGGCTGCAGAGGAGCGTCGCCCGAGGGCAGTCGGCTGGTTTCACTTTCGTGGGTTCCCGCTGCTGCCTGGAATCTGGCCCCAGGCTGAGTGCCCCGTTTGGGAGGACAGTGCTGCTCTTTGACTGCGAGCGCCCCTCTGGCTTGACATCTCTAGCTGTCTCAGCCATTGATTGGAGGATGGGATGGCCTTTGATCTGTCCTGTCTTCGTTATCTCACGTGCGCTCTGTCTGCCGTGCACCTTTGGATGTTCAGATTTGCGCTGGTGGTCTTCCTGATGCACCGTGAGCCGGTTTCTAAGCCCAAGACTCGGTCTTGACTCTACTTTTTCCATCAAGGTTCCAGCACGGCCATGGATTTCTGGCGGTTCTCCTCGTTGTTTTCTGGGAAACCGTGGGGTGGTCAGCCTCCAAGATGGGTGCCCAATAGGCCTTCCCTCTTGATAGTCAGATCCTGGGCAGTTTTCTCCACTTTGCTGAGGACTGACCGGTACAGCATTAAGACTGATAGAGTATTATGGAAATGATGGGGTCTTGTTACTTTGGAGGATAGATCATAGAAGGCATTGCCCCTGTGCCTTGCTCCCTCTTGGATCACTCGCTCTGCGGAAGGCAGTTGTCCTGTGCTATGAACCCAGTTAAGGAGTCTCATGAAGACGTCTTTGTGGTGAAGAACGGAGGCCTCCTGACAACAGCCATCACCAAATTACTAGCTCTGTCCACACCCCATCTTGGAATTGGATCTTCCAGCCACCCATCAAGGCTTCAGATGACCACAGCTCTGGTGGACGTCTTGATGGCAACCTCACCCTGAGCCAGAACTACCCAGGTAGGCTGTTCCCAAATCCCTGGTACATCAAGAGTGCGGTAAGTAATGATCATCATTGTTTTACACTAAGTTTTCATGTCATTTGTTAGAGAGCAGCAGAAACTAATACGTGATAGTTCGGGGCCCAGCCATGGCCACCAGGAATTGCTGCAAAGCCCCCTGCCCTTTTGCTGGGCTATGATGATGTTTGCGCCATGAAAGTGCTCATATAATATTTCCCATCTGGGACCTGAATAAGTACTTCTCAGGACTTGTTGAGTACTTAAGTACTTTTCAGTATTTATTAATTTGGAAACATCAAAGTGGTGTGAGAACTCAGAGAAAAAAGGCAAAGTAGTATTTTAAGATGCAATTGATAAATGTAATCGAATTAAAAAAAAGGGGAAAGTTAGCTCTAGGAAGTATCAAGGAGCCAAACGTCTGCCTTACCAACCTTATCTGAGACCCTGGAAGGGTGCCGTGGGCTGCTGTTTTTTGGGCAGCCATGGAGACTGCTGGAATTGAGTATTCTATCTCCTTCGTTCTGCTGTGTGCTTTTGAAGGTGAGATTTGTTTCCTTTATACTTGCAAAGATATACTATTAAAGCCCTGTCCAGGAACCAAAATGCAGAGATACAGGTGTTAGGTGAGAAATTGTATGTTTTCATCTGCGACGGTGAAAGATCTGCAGTTAAGATCTATATGGGTGAGGCAGGTTGAGTGGGTGAGCATCTGGCCTGGCTCCATGGGGCCCTGGGCATTTACTAATCTGCAAGTGTGTGCACCTTTGTGAGGTGGGAGATAGAAGGTAATTGTGAGGGTTCATCATTGGTGCCTCCTCCATTCTGTTCTGTTTTTGTCCTGATTGTGATATATTGATTGCATTGCATTAAATAATTGCATTAATGTGTTTGTAAGGGACAGGTCAATAGCACACAGTGCGTTGCAAATAGAAACGGAGCCTGATGAACCTCAACTGATACTTAACCTAATCCAATCACAGTGTCTTAGCTGGGACATTCACTTACTATGATTAAAACAAAAACGGGGTCATTTACTACACCAGTGTCACTCTAAATTTTTACCTTGTACAGTTAGTACAAACTGTCTTTTCATTGTGATTATTGATTATTGTTAAAATACAGTAAATTATTCCTTGGGCAGACAACAGGAAAGTGAACTATAATCTTTTCTGTCATCCCTGAAATGAGAAAGTACAGAAACAGTGTATTGCCCCAAAGGATTTTACACACACACACACACACACACACACACACGATTTTGAAAATGCAGTGCTTCCGTATGTTGGCTTTTTTTCCCTTTTTGTTGATGTTTTTATTAATGTTAACCTCTCATGAACTAAGGTTCATCTTGTTAACTTTTGAAGATGTGGAACAAAAATGGTGTTAAAATCACTGGAAACTTCACGGAATGATGGACGTTGGACACCAGAACTACATAGACAAAGATGAATTCTTTGCTTACCTCTAGTGGTGCTGACTCTGGTCTGCAGATGGGAAATAAGGTAATAGAACGTACTCTCCTCAATCTTCCCACTCTTCCCCACACCTGGGCCCCCCCTGGGCGCCTGCCTACCTGCAGGAGGAACTGGTTCCTGGGGTATAGAGCAGAGAGGAGGAGAGGAGGTCCCTGTTCACTGCTCTCTGAACTGATCTAATTTTGTTTCAGTGTTCTAGTTTTGGCTCAGGGAGCACAGGACTGGTCCCTTTGGTCCAGTGGCAAACCTTGGAATACACGAGGTTTGGGTTTATAGGCTAACTTACGGTCAGCATGTTAGTGGAAAATACGGAAGATGCAGTGGCCACCACTTTTCTCTGACTCACTCTCCGGTTATGGAAAGCTTCCTTGTGCTTCATAAGAACTTGAGAAGGCCAGGCCGTCACTGGGATGAGAGAACACATGACAGGTGTCTCCCCCACCCCCAGGGGCTCATTGCAGGGCAGCCACCAGTGGTTGGAGGATCCTGGAGAACTGAGTTCAAAGTCTCAGTCTTTAGAGTGTTGTTGCCTCAGCTCATTATTTTAAAAAGTGACCTCTGCCTTGCAAGAAGCCTTTGACATCTGCAGCTCATTCAGTTTCTTAGTTGTTGAGGAAGAGTTTACCACATTAATATGTGAGGTCGTATATATACATGTGCATGTGTGTCTGTGTGTGCACATGTGTGCTTAAAAGACAAACTGAGGGATGTTAAAAATTTTAAGGGTTTATTTGAGCAAAATCAGGTGTAGCCAAGCTGGAAATAGTTAGGAGAGCGCCACTGACAGTTCACTCAGGGAGAGACTTTTAAAAAGAAAAGGTAGGAGCAAAGCAAGGAAATTATTGATAGGCTACTACTTCAAGCCTAGTTGGCTGTTTGCGATTGGTTGTCCTTGGGTTTTGATTTTGTAACTTTGCGGTATTTGCAGGCTGAGGTTTTGTTTTGCTTACTCAGGCTGCTAGGCCATCTGAGCCACCTCAGTCTAATGGCTTCCTTGTTTGTTTAATTTAACAGTGTGCCTGTGTGTGTGTGTGTGTGCGTGCTTGCTTGTGTGATTGCATGCGTATACGTAGATGTGCAGCACACATGTATATGCACATACGTGCTGGTGTGTATGCATGTGCGTGCGTTCATCTATGTTTCTGTGTTTATGTTTAGTCACAATACATAACCTGTGGTAACCTCTCTTGTACTTTGGCTTTTGTTTCTTTTCCCACTGTTGCTTTTCACTGTAATGTTTGTATGTAATCAGAAAGGATTTTGAGTCTCCAAATGGTAGATTGCAGTTTCACAGTTAATGGGTCAGGAGGAGCATACTGATCATGGAAGAGAGAGGTTATTTAAACCTAACTTCACAGAATAGGAGTAGCAGTCCTGGGAGCAGTTGTGTCCCTACTCTAGGTGGGAGGAGTCTGTTGCCTGGAGACCAGGGAGTAGGGCTCAGCTAACAGAAGATGTCCAAGACGGGCGCCTGGGTGGCTCAGTTGGTTGAGCGACTGCCTTCAGCTCAGGTCATGATCCTGGAGTCCCGGGATCGAGTCCCGCATCGGGCTCCCTGCTCAGCAGGGAGTCTGCTTCTCCCTCTGCCGCTCCCCCCTCTTGTGTTCTTTCTCTCTTTTTCTCTCTCTCTCAAATAAATAAATAAAATCTTTAAAAAAAAAAAAAAGAAGATATCCAAGGCTCCTGGGAAGGGCAGCAGGAGAATCCTGTCCAGGGCTCCTGGGAAGGGCAGCAGCTCCTAGCATGGAGGTGCTTCTGGGCCCGTGTGTCTCCAGGCCCCCAGGTCTCAGATTGCTGTTCAGACTGTGGGAACAACAGCCTAATGGTACATTGGACAAAACATAACTGCTCCACACCACCACGGTCTGTGTGGTCTGTAAATAAAGACCAACTGATACTTTAAGATATTTTTTCTTTTTCCTTCGCTTCCTTTCCTTTTTTTCCCCTCTCCTTTCTTGCCTCGCTCTGTTTCTCTCTCCTTTCCTCTCTCTCTCCCCTCCCTCCTTCTACCTCTGTCCTTCTTTCTCTCCATACGTCCTTTAAAAAATAATCAAATGGTTATAAATCCCTGTTTCTTCTAGGCATCCCTCACACAGGTGAAAATGTGGTATAGTATTTTCCTCAATACATAACCATGTTTTTCCTGTAGATATAACATTTACTGCTTAAGCTTTTCTTACATTTATTCCCATACTTTTTTTCAATTTCTTACTAAGTCTTTTTCCTAAACCTAAAAGCATAATATTTTCTCTACTTCTGCTTAGTATCATCTGAACCACGGAGGCTCCAAACTGTGTATCTGGCTGGGATAGAGCCATGGAAACACAGCAGAGGCTGATTTGAGTGCCTTAAGGAATTACAGTCCCCTGAGGTCAATTTATTGGGGTTGGCTGGGTATATGAGTCATATTATAGGCTGGTAGGGATGAGAATAAAAGCCTCCACATTTCTTTTTTTTTTTTTTTTAAAGATTTTTTTTTTTTAATTTATTTATTTGAGAGAGAGAGAAAGAGATCGAGAGCATGAGAGGAGGGAGGTTC